TACTGCAGGTGAAGTTCTAGACTTCCTACATTCTTCTGTTTTGTGTTGCTCACCACACCTCACACATCTAGGAATGTGATGACAATATCTTTTCGTATGGCCATAAGCCTGACAGTTATGGCATTGAACGATGTCGCGCTTGGTGTAAGGCTTTTCTACTACAACGCTGGTGTAATAAAGGCGTGTGACCTTGTAGATGTCTTCGACCTGGGGCGTTCGGTCAAGGTCAACGAAGAATAGTGGGAGCGGTATTTTACTTTTTATTCCAGGCTGTTCTCTATCCTCCTTGAATATGTTCACTATCTGGCAAACATGGAATCCCATACCCACGAGCTCTTCTTTTATAGCATCTGTTGGCGTAGATGGGTGCAGTCTTCTGATAACGACCCTGAGCGCCCTCTCTTGACGCAGTTGATACGTGTGGTAATCAGCCTTGGTGTCAGATAAATATTTAATAATTTTTCTGTATGTTTCTGGAGTGTCAGGCATTAATTTAGTGTCATTGGTGCGGCTTTGGCATAAATATTTTCCTGAGCCCACTAGGTTATTCAATTGGTGACACATTAACTGAAAGTTTTTAATATTCCTAAGGAATATTGGTGGGGGTTTGGGTTCCCTGGGGGTGGGTGCTGCTTCCATTTCTTCGTTTTGTGTCTTTGATAGCACTGGAAATGGGTTCTGAGTGAAAAACGGCGATTCTTCACCAGTCTGAGTTGTCTCATGATTGTTTTGTTGTTGTGAGGTACCAGGTTGGGGATCCACTTCTTCAACAGAGCTCCCTGGTGTGGCTGGTGGAGTATTTATTTTCGAACATCTTGTTCTTTTTTTAATAGGAGAACTCATTGTAGTATCGAGGCTTCTGGACCTAGTATTTTTACCCTTGCTCGACATTAGCATATGATAATATCGCATTTCATATTATAAATGATAGGAAAAATTGTTAAATGAGAAGCGATATCAATTTTTTTTTTTTTTTTAACACGGAAATATATACGCGTGCTTAGAGAGGACTGATCGATACAGAACCTCCTCGGACGGAGACTTAGAGCCCACTGGTGGGATTAGCGATGTTATGGCCGGCCGTTATCAGTAACTAACCTGAGGTCTATTTACAATGTTCACTATTGAGCTGTAAATAAGTGATTACTCACCTTATTCTTTTGTTCAGTAACAAACTTAATTGTTAATATAACAGGTAACACTGTTGTTTCGCATTGAAGTTGAACACTGCCATTATTAATGAAGAATTTTGTAAGAGACGACCTGACGTATGTTTAACTTAGGCTAACGCATGAGCAGAACTGAGAGGATGGAGATTGGACGATAGTCATTAGGAGAGGTGGGGTTAGAGATTTTATTAATAGGACGGACTAAGGCTTTTTTCCAGGATGTAGGAAAAACAGAATTTTGGAGGGAAAAGTTATAAATGAATAGAAGAACTGGAAGGATTTCAGGGAGGCATAATTTTAACAGTTTGACAGGTATTCCGCCAATTCCTGTAGAATTGGATTGGGATTTCATTATGGAGGAAATAAGGTTCGTAAGAGTGATGTAGGAAAAATAAAAATTGTCACTATTAAATGCGGATGATACAGGAATATAAGAAGAGGCGGGAGAAATATTACTAGAGGAGGAGGATAAAAAGTAGGAATTTAAGGCATCAGGAGAGACTGGGACAGCTATTGAAGAAGATGATTTGCAAAGAGATAGCTTTCGGAGTAAATGCCATTTGGATTTAGAATCGGGAGCTGAGGAGAAGGCTTCATGAAAGTTATTGGTTTTTGCTTGCCTGATTGTTGTTTGCGTCAAGTTCCGGAGTACCCTGAACGCTTCGTAGACATCTGCAAGCCCGGTTCTTCTAAAACGTCTCCGGGCTGCCTCACGTCTCTTTTGCATATTTCGAATTTCTTGACGCATCCAAGGAGCAGGTTGACGGCGGAATGTAGAGGTTTTAAGTGTGGCATGGGTATTGAGGATATGGAGGAGATTAGAAGTCAGGATATCTACCATGTTATCAATTGAGGAGCTGGTGTAAACATCATTCCAATTCAGGGTTTCAATATCGGGTAAGATGCTTTCACGGGTTAGGGAATTTATATTGCGGAAGGTTATGGTTTTAGGAAGGATCGCAGGGGTCTGGATTATTGTACGATAGTTGGATGAGGTCATGTGAAGACAAGAAAGGAACAGGCTGTTGGGACGAGGACAAAAGGTTCTGCGCAGAATCGATGATAAACAGGTCCATCCATGTATCAGACCAGCAAGTGTGATGCGTAGGAGCAAATGGCACTATAAAGAGGTTAAGGGAGTAGAAAAGGTTTTCCAGGTAGTGTTTATCGTGGGAATCGGAAAGGAGATTGACGTTAAAGTCACCGGAAACTATTATGTTACAGTAAAATGGGATAAATTTGTATAGAGTTGATTCGAAGGATGGGTCGAAAGGTACCAGAGGAGGGCGGTATACTACAACGTATAGGAGAAGATGGGCTTTAAAGGAAATTTCAACAAAAAGGTATTCCATTTGGAAGGGGGTGAGATATCTAGGGTTCGGGATTTTAGGCTATTATGGACGTAAAGACCCACACCACCACCCGTTCTTGTAATCCAATGTATATGTTAGAGAAAGATATCATAGGACCTTCTGAAAGCCCATGGTCAGCTCCAGTAGTACCTGTAAAAAATAAAGGAGATGGATCGGCTGCCCCTAAGTTTAGGTTCTGCACCGACTTTCGCGGTCTGAACAAAATTACAAAAACAGATGCGTATCTCTTCCATTGATTGTTGAAACGCTAGAGCGCATGAGAAGAAGCAGATTCTTCACTACATTGAATTTAGCAAGTCGCTATCATCAGATTCCAATTTGACCAGAAGATCAGGAAAAGACTGCATTTATCACCGAATGGGGTCATTTTGAATATAAAAAGATGCCTTTTGGTCTAGATAATGCACCAGCAACTTTTTCAACGAATAATGGATCAGCTAGCAGAAATAAAAGGAGGCGAATGCTTAGTATATCTTGATGATATTATTGTATACAGCGCTACCATAGAGGAGCACTCTCAGCGATTCGGTAAGGTTTTGGCGCGACTAGACAAAGCTAATTTACGAGTGAATATGGATAAATTTCACTTTGCTCAGGGAGAAGTTCATTACTTGAGGCATATCGTTTCCAGCGAAGGTGTTAGGAACGATCCGAAGAAGGTGGACACAGTGGTAGGTTATTCAGTCCCGAATAGTGTCAAGGACGTTAAAGCTTTTTTAGGACTTGCTCGATATTATAGACGCTTTGTTCCGGGATTTTCTAATATGGCGAAACCGCTAACAACAATTTTAATTTTGAAGCGATCAAAACAACTTTGTGTTCACACTCAGTTTTAATTTGTCCAGATTTTAACGATCCATTTATATTATCGACAGACGCTTCGGTTGTAGCCTTAGGGACTGTCCTTTCTGAAATAAGAGTGGGACATGAAATACCAGTGGCATACGGTAGCCGCCAACTTAATAATGCCGAGCAAAACTACTCCGCCACTGAAAGGGAGTTACTGGCAGTTGTATGGGCTACTGCTCAATTTATATGTTACTTATTAGGAAGGAAGTTTACATTAGTAACTGACCATGCTGTTCTCAAATGGATGCTACATTTGAAAGATCCTTCTGCTCGATTAGCACGATGGAGCCTTCGGCTGATGGAGGACAATCATGACGTGGTTTATAGGCCTGGAGTACGTCATCAAAACGCTGATGGTCTCAGCAGAGGAGTTGCAGCAGTAAATTATAGGTTTCTCGATCATGTATCTTTACTGACAGAACAAGAAGATAATCGCTGGTGTCACGATATTATAACAAAATACACAGAAAAAGTACGTATAGGTGAAAAAGCTTTATGGTATTGGATGTACGATCAGTCTGATCCAGAGACGTGGAAGATAATGGTCCCCGTATCTTTGCGGAATTTTATCATTAAAGAAAATCATGATTCCTTGTGTGTATGTCATCCAGGTCAAACTCGCACGGCAGCGCGAATACTTGAGAGTTTTTACTGGCCAGGTTTGCGGGACGATGTTGCAAAGTACGCTCGCAATTTTCGTCCGTGTAATACGAGAAAAAGCCCAAGATTGTAAGCTATTCCACTGGGCCCTCCGTTAGAAGGTACCTATCCCTTCGAATTGATATCAATATATATAGCTGGCCCATTTGCCCTAAGCATAAAATGAAACCAGTATCTTCTAACATTTGTAGATAATTTTACGAGATACGCAGAAGCGATACCCTTAAAACAGCAAACGGCAAATGAAGTGGCGGAAGCATTCGTTAAATATATTGTTTTGAGACATGGGGCCCCGAAGAAAGTTTTAACAGATGGGGGTAGGAATTTCACATCATATTTGTTTAAAGAAACATGTAGACAACTAGGAATAGAGAAAGTTCAGACTACGGCCTACCATCCGGCAGGAAACGGATTAGTTGAACGATTCCATCGGACGCTGTGGGACTCTCTGGCACACTTAGTGCGTAAGGACGCTGCCGATTGGGACCGATGGATGCCCTTCCCTCTGGCGGCTTGCAGGGCGACACCTCATACTTCAACAGGGTACTCTCCGCACCATCTAATATGTGGTCGTGAATTTGGACTTCCATTTCAATGTGATTTTTCTCAACATAAGTTCCCAGGATCAATTAAGGAATACGTTTCGGAATTAATAATACACTTACCGACATTCATAAAAAGGCGAAAGAATCGGCGAGGAAGGCTTGGAAAATTCGTACTTGAAACCATGTTTTTGGAAAGATTATGCGTGAATATCAGGAAGGAGAAATGATTTATTTATTCGAACCAGTTTCACACCCATAGCAGTCGAGGAAATTTAGACATACGTGGTCAGTACCACACAAAGTAATTAAAAGACTGTCGCCGTGGACATACACTCTAAAGTTGAAGAGCGGAAAAAAGTATACAGTAAACATTAATAGGCTTAAAAGGGCTTCGGAGAAAGATAATGAGGCAATGCCAACAGCACATCATATGCCAGATACGCAGAGGCACGTATTTTCAGATCGTGAACTGGATATCCAACCTACAAGTAGCGGAATGGACAACCAAGAGTGCACGCAGATATCTAATGAAAATATATAATCAGCAGGGAAGCCGTCTGAAAGTGAAGATGAACACCAGGTCGACAACATTGATGAAGACCCAAACTGGTATCCAGATTCCGAAGAGGAAGGCAGGTAAGAAGTTCGGTCACCTTATCAGTTGCGAAGCAGGGTAAGGAGCCAAATATGACAAACTGTTTTGTAAAACACATAATTAAAATAATATTTTTTAAAATAACTGAGCCTCACATATTCACCAAAACACGTATAAATTTTATTTTTAGAGTCAGGGATAAAATTCTTTGTGATTGATCAAAACCTATCTGTTTAATTTTGAAAGTAAATAAATGTAGTGTCATGGCCACTAGTGCAGTTTAGTTTTCAGCTCGCTCTGTGATTATTACTTTGCTATGTGTTTATTAGTGAAAACTATTTGTTAATAATTGATTAACAGTGACATTATAAACAGTTGAACATTTTTAAGTTCACGGATAAAGAGGTGAGTTACAATTTATTAACAATAAAGTGATAAATTATTAGTATAATTAGTGCTCGTTTGAATAGCCCATTTGGCTGTTAATTCCATTGCCGTTCTTATCTTATTTACGTTAAGTTCACGGCCAAGGTTTGTACACTAGCTCGTTTCCGTCAGCTGGTCTCAGTTCGAAACCAAAGACTTATAGAACTTCTTTTTTTTTTTTTTTTTTTTTTTCTTTTTCTTTTCCAGGAGACAGTTTATTTAATTTTTTTTCCTTGTTTATTTATTCTCAGAAATGTTTTATTTTATTTCTGTTGCTAAGTTTGTATTTTTTTTTTTAATAATTTGTAAATTCTTATCTTGTAATTTTAATAATTAGGTATTTGGTATTTGATATGTAGGTTGATTTTTTTTGCTCAGCAGGCTGTTTAGATTTATTTTGTTCAGCTGTCTGTTTAGATTTTGCTGATTTATTTTTCTTCTTGTTAGGCGAATTACCACCTGACCCAGGGGCAGAGTTTCTGTGACTTTTTATATATATATTTATATTATATATAATATATATTATATAATATATTTTATTATATATATTTATATATTTTCCTCTTTCTTTTTATTATAAAATGGAAGATATGCATTTGGACGAGAAATCTTCATGTGAAAATTCAGAGGAGGAGACACCATTTTCCGAGGTTAGCGAAACTGATTCGCAATATCTGAAAAGATACTCGCTTCAAAAAAGTCACAGAAACTCTGCCCCTGGGTCAGGTGGTAATTCGCCTAACAAGAAGAAAAATAAATCAGCTAAATCTAAACAGACAGCTAAACAAAATAAATCTAAACAGCCTGCTGAGCAAAAAAAATCAACACCCAGAACTAGAAGCAAATCAAAAGCAACAAAAACAGCTCCAACTGCACCAAATACACAGCCAGCGATAATTTTGATCTTGGTAGTAACTCACCTAACAAGCCTCCGGAACCTCAAGGTTTTACTGACCCCGAGCTGCCCCTATTTTTGTCTCTAAAATTGAAAATTTCATATCATTCGTTCAAGAAATTGCCAATTTTATAGGAAAAACCAGTTTCCACTGTTTTTCTATGGTTAATAACATTAAGATCAACACGAGCTCTAAAGAAAATTATAAAACACTGATAAATTATTTTTTATGACAAGAAAAGGCATATCGGGTAGTATTGAGGGGCTTGCACTCAACCACTCCCATATCCGTTATCAAATCTTATCTAGAGGAAATAGGACATAACGTTAGGCATATAGGATGTGTGCTACATCCAACACAAAAATATCCATTGCCACTGTTTTTCGTTGATTTGAAGCAAGCCTGCAAGTAATAACATTGACATATTTCAAGTTTAGAGGCTTGTATTTCTAGCAATGGCCAGATTCTCCACTGAAATCATGAGTGTCTGTGGCTTTAGCGCTCTTACTCATCCTCTGCTGGTTTTAAATACCAGTGAAGTGGCTGAGGGAGAAGCGTAGGGATCTCCTAAGCCTCCCTTTTCCCTCCACATGTGGAGGGGACAGGATTGGTTCCCAGATCACCTGGAAAATTGTAAATAATGTATATAGGTATGTTTTATATAAGATGTTTGTTTTACTTTTATTTCTATTTTTATTTACTTATGTGTATATATATTTTTTTTTCTTTACTCTTTTGTTCTTTTTTCTTATTCTTTTGTTATTACTTTATTTATTTATGTTTTTGTATATACGGTATGAATGCACTCTCTGAACTCTATTATAAGTGTCCTTAAACTGTGACAAATTGTAATATTTCTGAATAAAGTGTTTAATAAATTGAATAAAAAAGATGCTTGTGTATTCCACAGTAAAATTCGAAGAGCCTAGACAAAAACCTGTCATAGTTCAATGCACCAAGTATCAAGACTTGGGACATACAAAGACCTATTGCCATCATCAGGGGAGGTGCGTTAGATGTGCCAGGCCACACGCATCTAACACTTGTCAGATCCCTCGAGACCAGCCTCCTAAATGTGCTCTCTGTGGTGAAGACCATCCTGCAAGCTATAAAGGATGTATAGTCTATAAAAAACACTATAAGTTAAGAACTCAGAACATAGCCTTAACGTACAGTCAACAAAATCAAGAAACTTACACCCAGCCACCAGAAATTGAAAATATTTCAAATTTCCAGTTGCCAAAACAAACTATCCATTTAATACAAGAACCAACTACTTCAACTGAAATCGCCCATGCTCATCAGGACTCTAGCAAAACTAGCACCCATACCACCATCAAGAAGCAGCAGCCTCGACGCCAGGCGCTTCAGGCCTCCCAAGCTAAACCTCATAATCCCAATCCTCTCATTGTTCATCCTCCGAGTCAGAAAATTTCCCCTCATCATCTACCTCTACGAGTCAAATTACCATCACAGCATTAGCACCCATCTCATCCTAATGTCCAGAAAAAAAACCCAGCACAAGTACCGTCGAATCCAAACCCACCTCGTACACAACAACGAATCCCACTCTCAGTTAACACTCCTTACCCGCCACCTGAACCTATCCTAAATCCACTTCACAATCAACATCCATCTGATATAACTTCCATTCTATCATCCTACCTATTGGACCTCCAAAACACCATAAAACCTCTTATCACTCTACTCACCAGAATCCTGACCGAAATTCCGTTTAATTTCCCTCGATGAGCACAAAGCCCCTAACTATCCTTTTATGGAATGCTAACGGACTACAAAACCACCGTGACGAACTTGACACATTTCTTGGTGACAATCACATTGATGTAGCTCTACTGACTGAAACGCATTTCACAAAACGGACACATTTTCACATACGAGACTACATCACTTGTAGATCTGACCATCCAGACAACACTGTCCACGCAGGTTCTTGCATTCTTCTACATCAATCTTTACCCCATTCCCTTATTCCTTCCACTCCAACTGACGCCATTCAATCAACTTCTGTAATCCTTTCAACTCGCCCTTTCCATTTCACATTCATAGCTGTAAACTGTCCTCATGGTGATTCCCTCTCCTTTAATCTCCTTGATACGTTATTCCAATCCCTCGGATAGCGCTTTATTGCTGGAGGTGATCACAACGATAAACACCAACGGTGGGGTTGTCGAACATCCAACTCCCGCGGTAACATCATTTCCCGTCTCTCATCTTCTAATAGTTATTCAATCCCCTCGCCCATGAATCCTACTTATTGGCCAACTTCTCTCAAAAAACGTCCCGATATCCTGGATATATTTATCACCTCCCAGATTTCCTCCTCCCAAACTATAATCAAATCCCTGGATGACCTTTCTTCAGACCATAGTCCAGTTGTGCTTTCACTACATTCTGACTTTGTTCCTAAACCATCACTTCCTAAACTGATCACTGGACGAGTAAACTGGGACAAATTTCGTGATGATTTGGAAAACAAACTAGACCTCAAAATTCCACTAAAGACAAAAGAAGACATTAATGGTGCCATAGAAAAACTGGCATCATCAATAACAGACAGTATAAATATTTATATATTTATACTTTATCAATAAGATTAACAAACCACAAAATCCTAACTTGCCAAAGCCTATTCGTATCATATTAAAGGAAAAACGTAGAGCAAGATCCAAGTGGCATAGAACTAGATATCCAACAGATAAAGTGCATTACACCCAACTGACTAACAAACTGAAATCAGAAATTAGAAAAAACAAAATTCAAAATTTACTAAATTTTACTGAAAAACTTACACGTACCGACAAATCACTACGGACGACCACTAAAAGGCTCCTGAAATTTAAAGACTGCGACCATCCACTACTCACTGAAGCCCAAACCTGGTCCAAATCCGACGAAGAAAAATTCCAAATATTTGCTCAACACCTCTTTAAAACCTTTAATCCACATCCCGATATTCTTAATCCAAATCACCTTGAATGTATTGAAGCAGAACTGGATATCCCACTCCAAATGTCTCTTCCACCTAAAGCCTTTCAACCTTCAGAAATATCCAACATCATTCACAGGTTACCTTCAAGCACAGCTCCTGGAAACGACCTAATTACATCCCAGATCCTAAAACTACTTCCTCGGAAAGCCATTCTGTTCCTTACCTATATATATATAATGCTGTACTCTGATCCACATATTTTCCCGACCCTTGGAAACTATCCATTATCAAAATGATACATAAACCCAAAAAGCCACCAGAAGACCCATCATCTTACCGTCCTATCTCTCTTTTACCCATCCTGGGCAAAGTCCTGGGAAAACTCATACTAAAACGCCTGTACCCAATCAAGATTCTAATCACATAATCCCAGATCACCAGTTTGGATTCCGCAGATCCCATTCCATTATCCAGCAATGCCATCGTGTGGTGGATGTTGTCTCCTCTGCATTAGAGCGCGGAATGTACTGCACGGGAGTCTGTCTCGATGTAGAACAGGCATTTCATCGAGTCTGGCACTCGGGACTACTTTACAAATTCCGTAAATTCCTACATCCTACATACTTCCTCATTATCCGTTCCTATCTAACTGATAGATACTCCAAAGTCACTCACAATAATGCTTATTCATCCCTCTTTTCCCAGTCCGCTGGTGTTCCTCAAGGTAGTATCCTTGGTCCTATCCTTTACACAGTTTATACAGCTGACATCCCAACCCATCCTAACACTGTTATTACCACGTATGCC